ATCTATTAAACATCTGACTTCAGCTTAGGTCATGATCTTGTGGTTCGTGGGTTTGAGCCCCATGTCAGCTCAGTGCTGACAGCTCAGACCCTGGAGCCTGCTTCAGATTCTGTGTCTCCCTCTCTGTCTCTCCTCCACTCACGCTCTGTCTCTCTCTCAGAATAAATAAATAAACATTAAAATATATATATCAAAAGAGAGAAAAATGGTTCACATACATAATTTAGAAAATAAATATTAACCAGAATAATATGATTACAAAGCAGATGAAAACAGTGAGCTAATATTTCAAAATTAGTTAAATAAAATTAAGACAATAGTAGAAACTATGAAAGAGCAGCATAAATGAGAACTAAGAAAGCTCAGAAACAAGATGGCCAGACATTGCAACTATGTGGATGGAACAGGAGGGTATTATGAAAGTGAAATTAGTCAGTCAGAGAAAGACAAAAATCATATGACCTCACTCATATGAGGACTTTAAGAGACAAAACAGACAAACATAAGGGAAGGGAAACAAAAATAATATAAAAACAGGGAGGGGGACAAAACATAAGAGACTCATAAATATGGAGAATATATATACACACATATATAACATATGAGGGTTACTGGAGGGGTTGTGGGAGGGGGGATGGGCTAAATGGGTAAGGGCACTAAGGAATCTACTCCTGAAATCATTGTTGCACTATATACTAACTAATTTGGGTATAAATTTAAAAAAAAAAATAAATAAGTAAATAAATAGCAAAAAAAAAAAAGATGGCCAGACACGAAGCAGATATGAAAGGAGTTGACAGAGCTCAGAAACAGTTCTAAATAAAAGGGAAAAAAAATTCAGGAGTGAAGAATAAACCTGAAGGAATGACCAGAAACCACAGAAAGTACAGTAAGAGTATAAATTTATGAATATGTGAAAAAAAAGTACACTAAAAGAGAAATTAAAAAAGGAATAAAAAGCATAAGAGAAAAATGATAGACATAGAAGACAAGCAAAAAAGAGCCAACATATGCATGGGAAGAAAATCAAAGCAATGGAACTGAAAAAACACTTTAAAAAAAAAAGTATAATTCAAAAAATTCCCTGAAATAGGAGACTCAAACCTTCATATTTATAAGACACACTGTGCACCTGAGAAAATCAACCCAGAATGGTCAACACTGAGACATATTCTACTAAAACTATGGAACTATAAAGAAGAAAAAACCTGTCAGCATTCAGGCAAAAAGACAGTGACTTTTTTTTTTAATTTTTTTTTTTCAATGTTTATTTATTTTTGGGACAGAGAGAGACACAGCATGAACGGGGGAGGGGCAGAGAGAGAGGGAGACACAGAATCGGAAACAAGCTCCAGGCCCTGAGCCATCAGCCCAGAGCTGACGCGGGGCTCGAACTCCCGGACCGCGAGATCGTGACCTGGCTGAAGTCAGACGCTTAACCGACTGCGCCACCCAGGCGCCCCACAGTGACTTTTTTTAAAGTTTATTTTCATTTATTTTGAGAGAGTAGAGACCAAGCAGGGAAGGGACAGAGAAAGAGGGAGACAGAATCCCAAGCAGGCTCCACACTGTCAGTGCAGAGCCCAATGCAGGGCTCGAACTCACAAACAGTGAGATCATAACCTGGGAGCTGAAATCAAGAGTTGGACGCTTAACCAACTGAGCCACCCTGGCACCCCAAGACAAAGTGGCCTTTAAGGAAGAGTAAATCATCTTGGCATCAAACTTTTCAACAGTAACCTTCAAAGCCAGAACACACAGAAGTAGCATATTTAAGATTCTCCGGGAAAGATAATGTTCACCAAAGATTATACCCTGAATACCTTTCAAGTATAAAGTAACAGACAAATTTCTCATGAGCACAAAAGATATCATATATCAGCTCTTCCCTCTTCATCTTCCTCCTTTCTTTCCTAATGGGGGAGTCCTAACTTGGCCAGTAGGTAGGGGAAAACAAGGTAGTCACCTGCACAAGGGGTGGAGTCAAGAAGTAGCCATGATGACCTAAGTGGGATGCAAAAGCCCAAGTGGGCTAAGGAAGGCATTCACGAGGAGGGTGCCTAGCAGAGTCTGAGTGGGAAGAGGAAGACACTGACAAAAGGGAGGCATGCTGTGACACGTTGGAGCACAAGGGGTGAAGCCTGACATAGAAAGTCAGAGTGTTTAGACTCTGGGATGCAAAGGACAATGTGGCTTGGGGTGCCAAGGCTCAAGCAGGGGAAGGAGGCATCAATGTATATGGAGGGAGGGTGGGGAGGCACCCCAGTACAGGGAGTCAGAGGCCAAGTAGGATGATGGGGCACAGGGCATAGGTAAATGCCTGAGTGGGGTAAGAGGGCATCCACACAGGGGACATCCTGAAATGGGAGTGAGATCCCAAGCAGAGTAAGAAGAGCATCCATGCAAGAGGTGAAAGTAGTAGTTAAGCTGGGGCATCTGTTACTTGCAGGAGAATTGAAAAAATAAGTTATGATATGAAGCAAAATAGGAACCAGAGTCTCACTGTTGAAGAAAAGAGATGCAAATGTGGAAAAGGAGTGAAATATAAAGAAAACTTTGTGGCACTGAATTGGAATTGGAGGTATTGATGTGATTCCAGTTAGATATATAGGTATGTGATTGATTAATTGGTTGACTGATTGATAGATGAATGATGGATGGATGGATGGATGACAGGATGGATGGATGATGAATGGATAATAGACAGACATAGATGTAAATGTGGGACAAAATCTGGGACAGTTTGGGCTTCAAAATAAATCATGATGGTAATGGACTGTAATCCACCAAATGAAATAGGAAACCTTAAGTCTGATATAAATGAATGAATGAATGAATGAATGAATGAATTGAAGATGTGATGAGGAATAGAGTATTTACATATTTTCAAAGTACATTCCCACAAAGTGCTAATTAACTACAAAGAGGGAAAGAGTAACTTTACAGCAAAGAAGCCTGGCAAATATCACTTTAATCAAGTGATCACAGTGAACACATGAGTAATGGGACAAATCAAAATTGTGTGACATCTGAGAACACAGTATCACTTTTGTAGTATTCTCCCCCAAAATGTAAGGCCTGACTCTAATCATCAGATGGCATCAGATAAACCCAATTTGAGGGACATTCTATGAAATAACTGGCTTGTTATCTTGGAAAGTATTAAAGTCAAGGAAAGTCTGAGGAACTGTTCCAGATAGAAGGAGGTAAAGAGAAGTGACCACTTAATGCAATACATGATCCTCGGTGGATCCTTTTGCTTTAAAAGGTGTTATCAGAACACTTGGTGAAACTTTGAGTTGTGTCTGAGTATTAGATGTTAATAATGTGTCAATGCAATTTTCTTAACATTAAGAATATGCAGGTGAATGTCTTTTTTGTAGGAAATACACACTAAAGTATTCAGGGATGACAAAGCATCAGGTGAGTGACTTATTCTCAAATGATTTGTAGGGGAAAAAATTCTTGGTTTGGTGCTCTGACTTTTCTGTAAGTCTGTTATTGTTTGAAAACACATACATACATACATACATACATACATACATACATACATACATACATACAGGAGATTCAGGGAACATTGTTCCCATGAGCCTTTCCTGAAGGCATCTACTAGAGCACAAACTTCAGATAGCTAAGAAATGATTGGAGAGGGTTGGCAATGGACCCATGGTGGGCACTATTTAACTACTGAACCAGGACCAAGTGATGGGGGTACAGGTGCCAGGAGAGTATGTGACATTGACAATGCAGAAAAAATACAACTATGAAAAATGAGACAAGTGAGGGGAGCATATATAGAAGAAGAATCTCACCAATTGCTTTATTGGTATTAACTATGAGTAAAATAATTTTTATTTTAAATCAAAGGCGGGAGTGGAGAGAAGAAATGGAAAAGATTTATAAGCTATTTAAAACATTGCTCCTGGTAGGGAACTCAATACACAGGACCAAAAAGGGGGTGGGTATTTAAGGTATTATACAAAGGTATTACTATGAAGGTAGCCATTAGGACAAAAATCCAAGGCTTTCTAAATATCCATGGAAATATCAAGAGAGACAGAGAGAACAAGAGAAAGAGGGAGACTACAGAGAAACTATACATACGTAAACAAAGATAAGGGCCACTGTATTCAGACAACACCTTTCTCAAGCAGGTTGTGACAACCACTCACGACCTGCTCACATTCTTCTAGAACCTGACTCCAATGTGCCTGAAACACAGCAAAGCCAGGGACCCTGGGAAACGGTCCATGTGACTACATGGTGAAGGAAGAAAGACAAAAATTCAAATCTTTTTTCGGGAAATAGAGCAAGACAAATGTTTAGAATCACACCTTCAAAAGAGTTTGGTAGGGGCACCTGGGTGGCTCAGTCAGTTGAGCATCCAACTCTTGATTTCAGCTCAGGTCATGATCTCATGGTTCATGGGATAGACCCCACATCGGGCTCCACACTGAGCATGGAGCCTGCTTAAGATTCTCCCTCCCTCTCTCTCTCTTTCTCTCTCTCTCTCTCCCCCCCCCCCCCCCCCCCCCCCCCCCCTCCCCTGCTCTCTCTCTCTGTCTCTCTCTCTCAAAAAAAAAAAAAAAAGTTTGGTAAAAGCTTTCTACATAGTTGTGACCTAGCTTAGGAATAAACATCTTTTTAAGATAAGGCTTTTCAGTGAAAGATGCTGAAGGAAAGGAGAAGGATACTCCCAGGATAAGGATCACAAAAGCACCTATAAAAGGTTTTTCTTTTTCTTTTTTTAATTTGTTTTTAATGTTTTTATTTATTTTTTGAGACAGAGAGAGACAGAGCATGGGCAGGGGAAGGGCAGAGAGAGAGGGAGACACAGAATCTAAGCAGTCTCCAGGCTCTGAGCTGTCAGCACAGAGCCCGACGTGGGGCTCGAACTCATGGACTGTGAGATCACCACCTGAGCCGAAGTCGGACGCTTAACCGACTGAGCCACCCAGGCACCCCTATAAAAGGTTTTTCAAGACAAACAATCCTACCTTTTCCTCACCAGTAGAAGACACACTCTAAGGCTTATAATGATGGTCAGGCCACCAGGCTCACATACACAGTAGCCTCTGCAGAATAGAAACTTGAAAAGCACATACCTATGAAACAGAAAAGAACAAACTTTAAAAAATACTGATTAGACTGCTAATTACTTAGGTTTATTTAGCAAATCTGATGCTTTTATATTTTCTGTTCAGGGCTTTAATATAAATCATTGCATAAAGTTGAAATTCTCTTTGAAGTATTAATTAATTACCTAAGGGGAGAAGAAAAGAAAATAATTTCCCTCTGCATTTGAGCAACTAGTATGTTCTCTTCCCCCACGGTGACCTCAAGGGACAGGAGATTCCCACAGTTTCTCCAAAGGACCATCCTAGGTACTGATGGGCTCATGTGCCATGATCCGGTGTGACCTCGTGGCAGCGAAAGGCTTAGACGCTTCTGTTCACACCTGTCCTTGGTCCCAGCTGAGCACAAACATACAACTGTTATAGGTACCCATCTAACCTTCATCTTTTCAGCCTGATGACACTTTGGGTCTGTTGCCAATAGCCAACGCCCTCAACTTTTCTCCTGTTCCAGTTAAACTATTATCATATCCCTATATAGGCCAGTTCTGAATTTAATTAGCATTGGTCTAACACATACCTACTGTCATGTCCAAGAAACACAACACCAAAGAAGACACTATTTCCGCCCATGAAGAGCTCAATGTAGCCTGAGACAGACACAAAAAACAAATGACTACACATACTGAAATAAGGCACCCGGACACACATGATTTAACGGCACAAAGTGCACACGGGAGGAAGGTACCAGCTCTGCTAGAGTGAGTCAGAGATGCTTCAGACAGAAGGAAATATTTGCACTGGAGAGTCAAGAATGAGTATGAATTTGCTAGAGACCTGAGGGTAGGGAGATGTCAGGTAAAGAGACGAGCACGTGAAAAACCAAGAAGTGAGAAAGAACAAGGCCTGTTCCAGATCTTCCAGCAGGTCAGGGTGACCAAAGCATATGTGGTACATGTTGGGAGGGAATGCGATTGGGAACTGGTCAGGGGACTGGTGGAGGCCAGATCCTCTGTGGTCCTGGGTTCTGTGTCAGGGAGTGAAGGCTTTACTCAAAGGCAGTGGCTCAGAAGAGGTTTCCACAGGACTGTGCTGTGGTCAGATTTCAGTTTCAGAAAGACCACTCCATTGGTTGAAAGGAAGAGGGAAAGACTAGAGAAAGAGAGACTGATCAGGAGATTCCTACAGGGCTGCAGAGCAGTTAGATGAGTGGCCTTGGGATGCTGCAGACCTGGGTTTAATGCAAGGTCATCTTATCATAATGCGAGACTTTCATTTGACCTCCTTCTGTTTCAGGTTCCTCATTAGCTTCATTGGCCTGCGACCTGTTGTGGCAGAAGGCCCCACATTTAGAAGGGCTCTGTGTTTGGTTTGATGATCTGCCATCCCTCTCTTGAAACTCTTCATACGATTTAAATGCTCAACTCTTCTCCTGTTCCAGTTAAATTATCATCATATCCCTATATAGGCCAGTCCTGAATTCAAGTCAACACAATTAGCATTGATCTAACACATACCTAATGTCATGTCCAGGAGACACAACACCAAAAAAGACACTGTTTCTGTCCATGTAGCACTGGGCCCTACAAAGTATGTAGCCGGTTCTGCTCACCTCTGAGTATATTAATGGTACCTATTATGACCAGAGGGTTATTGGGAAGATTAACTAAGCAAATACAAGTAGAAAAGAGTGTCTGTGGCACAAAAACAGACACTCAGATCAATGGAACAGAATAGAGAACCCAGAAATGGACCCACAAACATATGGCCAACTCATCTATGACAAAGCAGGAAAAAATATCCAATGGAATAGACAGTCTCTTCAGCAAGTGGTGCTGGGAAAACGGGACAGCGACATGCAGAAGAATGAACCTGGACCACTTTCTTACACCATACACAAAAATAAACTGAAAATGGATGAAAGACCTCAACGTAAGACAGGAAGCCATCAAAATCCTCAAGGAGAAAGCAGGCAAAAACCTCTTCGCTCTTGCCCGCAGCAATTTCTTACTCAACACGTCTCTGGAGGCAAGGGAAACAAAAGCAAAAATGAACTACTGGGATCTCATCAAAATAAAAAGCTTCTGCACAGTGAAGGAAACAATCAGCAAAACTAAAAAGCAACTGACAGAATGGGAGAAGATATTTGCAAACGACGTATCAGATAAAGGGTTAGCATCCAAAATCTATCAAGAACTTATCAAACTCAACACCCAAAAAACAAATAATCCAGTGAAGAAATGGGCAAAAGACATAAATAGACACTTCTCCAAAGATATCCAGGTGGCCAACCGACCCATGAAAAAAATGCTTAACATCACTCATCATCAGGCAAATACAAACCAAAACCACAATGAGATACCACCTCATGCCTGTCAGAATGGTTAATATTAACAACTCAAGCAACAACAGATGTTGGCGAGGATGCAGAGAAAGAGGATTTCTTTTGCACCACTGGTGGAAATGCAAGCTGGTGCAGCCACTCTGGAAAACAGTATGGAGGTTTCTCAAAGAATTAAAAATAGAACTACCCTACACCCAGCAATTGCACTACTAGGTATTTATCCAAGGGATACAAGTCTGCTGTTTCAAAGGGACACATGCACCCCCATGTTTATAGCAGCACTATCAACAATAGCCAAAGTATGGAAGGAGCCCAAATGTCCATAGATGGATGAATGGATAAAGAAGATGTGGTATATATAAACAATGGAGTATTACTCAGCAATTAAAAAGAATAAAATCTTGCCATTTGCAACTGGATGGAACTGGAGGGTATTATGCTAAGTGAAATTAGTCAGTCAGAGAAAGACAACTATCATATGAATTCACTCATATGAGGACTGTAAGAGACAAAACAGATGAACATAAGGGAAGGGAAACAAAAATAACATATAAAAACAGGGAGGGGGACAAAACATAAGAGACTCATAAATATGGAGAACAAACAGAGGGTTGCTGGAGGGGTTGTGGGAGGGAGGATGGGCTAAATGGGTAAGGGGCACTAAGGAATCTACTCCTGAAATCATTGTTGCACTATATACTAACTTATTTGGATGTAAATTTTAAAAAACTAAATAAATAAATAAATAAATAAATAAATAAATAAAACAGTACACAGAAAAAAAGAAAAGAAAAAGAGTGTCTGACACAAAATCCTCCATATAATGGAAGTTATTTTATTACCATTATTATTACATTGCCAAGAAGAAGAGGGACCTATAATAAGGAGCCAGCAGAGAAGGCAGAGGAGGAAGAAAGCAGGGGCGGAATGTGTAGGACATGTCTCCGGAGGGTGGAGAAGGTAGTGCACGAGAGAGATGCGAGAAGGCCAGCTGCAAGGTACCCTCACCCAGGCCAAGACCAGCAGTAAAATGGAAAACAACTTGCAAATACCCACAAGACTATAAACTAAAACACACCTTCCACACTCATATGCAGATCCAACTCTTCACTTAAAAGTGAAGTCTCATTGCTACGTCTATGCGGGGCTTAGCAATATCAGAGCATAGTGCGAGAGGGCTCAAGTGTAGCATGCGGCCTGCGGTCCTAAAAAGTCAAAGTGTGGGGTGAGGAAGCCAAGAACGCATTCCCTTGAGAAAAGAGAGCAGCCCAGATCAAAAAAGTACCCAAGCTCTAGTCAAATTCACCTCTGACAACTAAAAGCCAGACATTTAATTAAAAGGTCGAGTAAGTGTTAAGAAATATTACTAAAGCAAACAAAAGTATTAGGTTAGGTTGAACCATCTGAAATTGCCCATTCTGTAGTAAAAAATGGTCAAATATCAGCCAATTTCACACAGTTCAACTCAACATTTCCCTAAAAATATGGGTAGCCATTAAAAAGGCAAAACTATGGGGCACCTGGGTGGCTCAGTCGGTTAAGCGTCCGACTTTGGCTCAGGCCATGTCCTCACAGCTCCTGAGTTTCAGCCCCACATTGGGCTCTGTGCTGACAGCTCAGAACCTGGAACTTGCTTCACATTCTGTGTCTCCCTCTCTCTCTCCCTCTGCCCTTCCCCCGCTCATGCTCTGTCTCTCTCTCTCTCTCTCTCTCTCTCTCTCTCAAAAATAAATAAACATTTAAAAAAATTAAAAAGGCAAAACTAAAACATGATAGTAGCCAAAGAACATTATGCTTTAAAAAAAGGAAAAGAAAAAAGAAAAATTAGACATCTTTGTAAAAGGCGTATCATTTCTTACTTTAAGGGCCAGAGAAAAGGAAATATTAATTTTCTTCATGCAATAATTCAGGGAGAAAGCAAACATTTTACTAGAAGACATCACAGGAATGGGACCAGAGAAGCAATCAGTGAACAAACATCCTGGCAAAAACTATAGCTGAAGAAAATATGTATGGGTGAAGAAACAAATACTATAGTAAACATAATGCTATGTTTTAATTACAGGCATATTACCCCCAAAATGGTAATTTATTAAAACATGAACTTGGCTTGATAAATAAGCAAAGTAGTGACTGGGTAATTCCTCTATTTATTATTTATTGAGCTAATAACAAAAGCACAAAGAAATGAGACAGAAGGCTTTAAAACCTATTGGAACCCTCTTTGTGGAATTGAGCCAATCAGATCTCCCAGGCAGTTCTAACTCATGATATAAAAGGCCCTCTAGAGCATTCGGATGGGCTTTTTAAAAATATACACAGCTGCTTGACACCAGGATGCCACTATGGTGTAGGTTAAATGGCTACCAACAGATACAAGCCCTCCAGCATTTTTTCATTCTTTAATTTTTTTCCATTCTTGGTCTAATGTTATCCCTAGAATGGAATGGGGGTTGCAGGGTGGGTTGGATTCTCCCTCCCCAAATATTCCCTATGAATATTAACAAAGACTGAGTACTACAATTAAGGTACCAAAATATAGTAAAATCAAACAAAGATTAAAAAGTAACCAGATGATTGTGGTCTGTTCTCAGAGCTCATCTTTATCTATCAGCAGCATGTGACACAGTGAGTTTCCCTTCTGCTTAAAGTACTGTCTTCATGTGGGTC